GCTGCTGTTAGCTGCTGTTAGCTCACTCAGCCTCGTTTGATCAGTATCAATAACAGCTGATCAACTGATCAATGAACACAAACAGTGAACTCAATAACTGCAGGAAGTTTGATTAGGACACAATAAGAGAGATTTATACCTCCTGTCTGTCGGTGAGTAAACTGATTAATAAACTGTAAAAGTTCCTGCAGAATATTTTAGTTTTCTTAATATTTTTAATTTGAATTATATTTTCTTTGTTATGAACGATCACTTCATAGTCTGCTTGTTTGATAACGCGGGCCGTTGTTTAATCTCTGTAAATATAGCTCCTGTTCAGGATCTTAAATAATAATAAACATTAAAACTAATCTATGTTTATTTATACGTTTTATTACTCCCCTCATAACGGAGACCCTGAGGTTACGATGAGAGCTGATTTAATTACAAACTCAGTAGTTAGAGCAGGATCCGCCCCCCCGCAGCCGTCTGTGTATAATCTGTATAATGATGTGTTTCCTTCAGACATGACTCCGCCGCAGACGACCCCCTCCTGCCCTCTGTGCTGCAGCACGTATTCGGCGCTGTCGAGTCACCTCCGCAAATCTCACGGCATGACCAACCTGCAGGAGAGGAAGCGGCTGCTGAACCTCGCCACAAAGCACGTTAACATCAGGGACGCGGTCTGTCCGGTCTCGGGGTGTACGTACAGAAGTACGAGACCGGACAAGAGCCTGCCAGACAGCCGTCTGGAGCTGAGCCCGGGCGAGGTGGAGAGCCACATGGACGTGGCCCGGAGGGAAAGGACTGTGACTCTGCTGGCTGCCCTCCGGGCCACGAATCCGTCCACGTCCGTGATGACCACTCTAGACCTGGAGGAGGAGGAGGAGGAGGAGGAGCCCATGTGCACTAACCCCGAGTGTGGGAAGCAGCTGGACAGTTGGCGTGAGAAGAAAAAAAGCCTGAGACAGAAAAAGCGTAAGCTGGAGGAGGAGGTCTTCATCCTCCGGAGGAAGTACAAACGTCTGGTGAGAAAGCAGCGCTGCCTGTCGGCGGACGCCGGGTCGGTAAGTGAGCACCACACGGTCCTGAGCTGTTCTTTAATCAATATATCAACAGTATCAGTCATTATTCTGTCTCTGTCTCACAGTCAGGACTCAATGCTGCTGCTCCCACTGAGGAAGAGGAGGCAGACCACAGCAGGGAGGAGGAGGAGGAGGAGAGTGAGGAGGAGGAGGAGAAGGAGGAGAGTGAGGAAGAGGAGAAGGATGAGGAGAAGGGTGAAAAGGAGGAGGAGGAGAGGAAGGAGGAGAAGGAGGAGAGGAAGGAGGAGGAGCAGCAGGAGGAGAGGAAGGAAGAGGCGGCTGGGTCCAGCGGGCAGGCTTTGACCAAAAAGGAAACAGGTCGTGGAGAAGCTCCTGGAAGGAGAGATCTGATGCTCTCTTCCTCCACCGGTAAGAAAAGAAGACGAGTTGGTCCGTTATTGTCTCTGCGGTCCAACAGGAAGTCTCTTTCTCCTGTTGTGTGAATCTCAGACAAATATTTGTCCTTTACATTACAAAGATTTCTTTAACTATGACCCTCCTACGGTGGCCCAGAGGACTGACTGCCTCCACTGACTGACTGTGGAAGAGGAAGGTTGTTTCCTGTTTGAGAGGCTTACATCCTTTAGTTTAGTGGTTCCCGGTAACCGACTGTTTCACTCATTACATGTTCTCATTCAGTCTGTATTAAAGCGCATTCATTAGTGGAGCTTTACTGTCCGTCACAATCTGACAACCTTCCTCTTCCACATGAGCAGGCAGTAAGTCCGCCGGTAGCAACAGTCCGAATGTAAAAACTAAACCCAGGATGAGACGTTAGCTCTTACCACTCCAATGCTGTTCGTATTGGTGTATTTCTATGAGCTGCTGGCGACGGACCGGTTGTGTAGTTCCTCCGCCCCGCCTTACTTTGGTTCAAGCTAAAGTTAGCAGTGAGTAGCAGATTAGTTGTGGTTGTAGCGTTAGCTTACTTCCAGGTCAGCAGGGCGTGTCATAGGTCAGTCTGGTAGTGGAGCACCCTCTGCTGGATTACAAAGGAAACTACTTCAAATGGTCTGTTGTGCTTATAGACAGTAACTTTTGAATTTGAAACAAGTCATTAAACTTTATAACGAGTTTCAAATAAAAAGTGGCAGCTTCAGTTGAACCTCCAGAAACAGCTCCTTCATCAGCAACTCTTTTCAGACTCAGTATTTCAGTGAGAGTCCCACAGAATCATCCTCACTGCCTGATCTTGTACTGTGAAACCAGTATAATAATAATTTAATGATTTTAATTGGATGTTGGATTAAAAATGGTGGGTGTAATGAAAGAACGACCCACCTTGTTCCAACTAGTGTTGCTTTCGTCAACGAAAATTATGACTAAATATCGTCGTCAACAAACCTTTATCACATGACGGAAACAAGACGAGACGCAACGTAAATGGTG